CCCCCTGGGGAGCCCTGGGGGGGGGGGGGGGTTGATCAAAGATCTTTGGAGGACATATGCCGATCGGTACCTTCGTATTTCCCGTTTCGGAGAAAATTTCTTTCGGGATCTCGAGTCGCGATCGGGTGAATCTGTCCCTCTGAGTTAGGTTTCTAGGACCTAGGGAAGGAGTCGAAAAACCGTACACTCGCAGAATCTCGCAGCAAAGTGGGAGTCACATGTCTACATTAGTAGTGCAGGAGTATGAAAATGTATTTTTAGTTACAGGCATCCACGGCCGTCTGTAAGGAAATCGAGGTTGAAAACTAAATAGGCAAACTTTCCATAATTGAGATTTTCGTTCCTCGACTGTAACGTAAGGGATTGGAGGGACGAATACTCACTTGCCTGATCTTCAATGTGAGATCAAATTAAATTCACAACTATCGATAGCCTGTGGAAAAATCAGGAAAACTTTTTCAGTTCACCGGGTGCTAGTAAACTCTTTTCTCTGTTTTGGAACGACCCTATTCCTAAGAGACGGGGGACGCAGTGTTGCTTTTTCGGTGTTGCCGTACACTTTTGGACATCTCAGGATGAGACAGGTAAATTCAACCTGTCTCATAGATTAAAAAAAAAAATTTTTTTCGATTTTCGGCCAGGTTTTTACTCGCTCTGGACCACTGTGGGCGGGCCAGTTTTTTCTTCTTATGGGGGATTGCGGAATTAATTGCGAATTAATGGCGGAAGAGTGCTTGTCGCCCTTCTCGCACGCTAGCGCGAAAGTCGAGGTGGGAAATGGCGGGAAATATTTTTCGTATTTCGAAAGGAAAAGATGAACTTGCTCTGGAGGATTTTCCGGTTGCTTCGTCCTCGTTAGCTGCGATATTTTCTGCTCTCGCGATGCGAACCGACTTCGACGGGGGAGTCGGCACACTCCATTCCCACTTTCTGCCCGAGAAATCAATCTGGATTTTTGGGAAATCCTCCACTTCCGCGAAAACCGCCGAGATTTTTTGATGATTTGGGAAAAAAGCGTCCATCAATCCTCGTTTAAGGCGCTCCCGGCAGTCAGCATGCGGATCCATGATCCATTTTCTTTTCGGGCCCACTTCCCGATTTCGGCGAAAACAAAGAAAAATCGTCGACGGTTTCCAGAGACAAGCGGCTTCGGATTCGCAATTGCTTCGTGAAATGAAAAAAGCGATCGCTTGGATTCCCATCCGGATGTGGCGACAGGGTTGCCACGAACAGGGTTGCCACGGACGGAGTGTCATTCCGTGTCTGTCTCTCCTCGCTGCTCGGGTCCGCGTTCTCTGCTGGTAATTCCAGCGAGGAATTCCAGGAGTTTTGGTCTATTATTAGTGGCCCGTAATATGCCTCTGACGAGAAGGTACTTTGCATGGACTTTCGCTGCTTTCCATGGAAATCTGCCTTCCACCAGTCGCATTAGTTTCCCATATTCCACCCTCCTCCCTCCTTTAGCCCTCCTCCCTCTTTCCGTCCTCCTCCCTCCTTTAGCCCTCCTCCCTTTCTTCCGTCCTTCTCCCTTCTCTTTGAGGGAGTTCTCGGCTACCTGGACGAAGCCCCTGCCCGACTCCGAATAAATAAGTGATCGGAGCGGGAACGACCCGAAGCACTCCGCTGGGTCCAATATGGATAATTGAAGAGAGGAGACCGGGGAACATCTCGTCGTTTCATTCTGGGCTTCCTTCGAGGCTTCGAGAGCGGTCGGCTCGCTTTCGGTTCGATGGGTTTGCATCATTTATTTAGCGTTTGGAGCCAGATGGCACGAGATGTCGGTCGGTCGTCGGCGACGAGAGGCCGTGCAACGTCGGCGAAGTGGCGGGATGTCGTTTCACGAGTTGGAGAGGCGATGAAGCGATGATCCGTCCAAATTATGCCAACATTCTCGAAAACTTTCCCAATAGGCGAGGGTTTTCGCGTGGGGGCGATTAGCGAAAGCGAAACGGATCTCGAGCTAGAATTCGCTTGCACGAAGAAAAACGAATCGATCTAGCTTAACTTAACTTCTTCGCTTCGGTGCGAACGACATCACCCTTGACGTAGCACACTACCCGTGCACGACGAAAGAACGTTCGACTGGGCGTGGACGACCCGTGTGCAACGCGTTCAAAGTCGAAGGTTCGTGGTTGATAACAGAGATGTCGCTTTGGTGCCCCGACCGTCGGCCGCGAGTCCGATCGATCACTTTTCGCGATCGGTTTCACACGGAGGAGAGGTACTGCCTTGCGGCTCCGTAAAAGTAGAGAACACACTGAAGGCGGCGAAACGTTTCGGGTCGGAAGGGAAATCCATGGAGTCATCGTCTCTGCGATGTTGGAGATCCCGAGTGTCTCAACGGAACGACAGGTATTCGCAGACGAGAATTTTATTTTTGCCGAGAATTTTATTTTCCGGGAGTTTCCGGGGACTGTCGATCGTTCGCTGCGGCCGGCTACGGTGTCGTGACTAAGAATGAACTTTTTTTTTATGAGGAAAAAAATTTCGCAATGCGTCGCGCGGGCGCGAAACGGTGGAGCGTCGAGGCGTCGGCCCTGCGTTTCCCAGGTCGGTCGGACCGACGAACGGAACCGACGCTTTTTTTTTGCTATTTGGGGCGAAAGGCGCGAAATCGTGAGAAACGCGTTTCGCTCCGCGACGCGTCCTGGAGCGAAATGCAACGCGATCCGATTATGCATAATCATGCCAGCTGGCGAAAAAATAAATAAATAAATAATAAACAAATAAATAAATAAATAATGCGGAATTTCTTCGGAATCATCTGCTTCGTAGCGCGGAAAAATTTCATTTTGTGGTCACTTATAATTCCAGCGGGATGAAAAAAAAAAAAATTTCCACAGTTTGAATTTTTCCACAGTTTGTTTCATAAGGCGTCATTAAGCCATTTTTTAAAAGACATTTCGTCCTTGACCTTTTGGGGTTCCATTTTTCAATGAGAAGAAATGCACGACTCCTTACAATACGTTACACTAAATAATTCGACTTAACATTTCAACTTAACATTTCGACTTATTTTGGGGGGTTTTTCACACAAAAACGCGTTTCTCGCGCATTTTATTCGCACACGACTCCGAAAAGCTTTCCAGTTTCGGGCTTCGTCGGTCGCGGATTCCACTTTTCTTCACATGCCTAATTAGCATGCATGGTGAAGTGCTAATTAGGGACCGATTGATGATCTGCTCGGCACTTTCTCTTTTTTGGTGGAAAACGGCTGAATTTAGAAATCGCGAGGGAAAAAAGGTTGAGGGCATTTCCTCGGCTGGGATTGGCGCGAACGAGATTGATATCGGTGGTTGATTTGCATATTGCATGGGTAATGAATATTTTATGCAATTACTTGGAAAGACGGGGAGACCGAAAACGAACGCCAGGCTGGGAACGCGCTTCTTTCGCTTCGCCGCGAGGAAAAAGACGGAGGACGTACGCAAATTGATGGCGGTCCCTCGCGGACGAGCAGAAAGTGAGGCGGTGATTGGTGAAATCCAGAGGGTGCATGGATTCAATTCCATGGAGTCAGGAGTCAGGAGAGTTAGTGATATCAAGAGGCGATTTCGCCCATTTCGATATCACGTGTCGAGGTCGAGCGTTCCTTAATTTTAGGGTAGGCCTAACCCTCTTAAAGCTATATATTTTTGTATTTTTGTTTTGTTTTGTTTTGTTTTTTTTTNCCAAGGACCGAGCCTTGAGGGACACCGCTTGCGACTCCGACCTCCTCCGACGCTTCCCCATTTATCATCACCCGTTGCTCTCGTCCTGCCAACCAGCTACTGATCCACTCACTCGTCCTAGAGTGAGATGTGAGAGTGAGAGTCCTAGAGTGAGAGTGAGATGAGAGAGATGGAGGGTTCGGAAATTTCCGCGGAAGATCGTTGAGGGGGTGAGAGTTGAGAGCGCATTTCCAATGGAATGCCGCGTGGACGAGTGCTCGAATGCGTCAGGGTGTGAACGTAAGTGCGTGAGGACAAGGGCTTCCCGCTCTGGTTTTGAAAACCGGAGTGGGATCTGCATTAGACCGAGGCAAAACCCGCCTCATATCCTGGCAACGAGGAAAATGTTTTTCTTCGGCTGTTTGCGTCACTGCAGTACTCAAATTTTATTTCGAAAAGCAGGTCATGCAAACATCGCAAAGAGTATGCACGCGCTTCGATTATATAATGCAACGAATCGAAGACGACCAACTGCGCCATTTCCTGTCGCTGCAATCGATGGGGTCGCCATGTTGTCAAGCAGCAGTAGTCTTCTCGTGGCGTGTGCGGTTTCCGAGTGCGTCGCGTCGTTGGTCTGTCTCGATATCCTACATTTAGGTTGACAAACCTGGCATACCTTAGAGCCACAGGTTTGCGTTTATGCTGCAACTTGTACGTTCGACGTTTTCCCTATGATATTTCAAGTCGGGGTCTAACGCAACCCCCCCCCCCCCCCCCCCCCCCCCCCCCCCCCCCC